TATATATATATAATCTAGTTTAAATCATTACCTTTGGGAAGAAACTACGTACCAGCATAGTGGCAATACCTTCCATACCAATCAGTTCAACCCAGTCCAGCACAGCATAAAATTCATCGTACCGCTGAAGATCAGGAAATATAGTAAATAAGAGAAATAACCACAAAAGCTGGAAACCTGGAACATGCGAACCACAAGTTACAACGCACATGATTTTTTGTAGGATCGTAAGTCATCTCTTGCAAAGCCTTCTCAAGTTTGGGTATAATGTTCATTGCCAGAAAAGCAGACATAGTTGCTGATGCAAAACAACCTTTCCATGGTCGAAGCATAGACAAGGCACTAAAACAGTAGAGAATTAATTAGAATATTATCTTCCTCAAATAATTTGACAAACCGCGTATTTCTTTACACATGAATAAATACTGAAGCAATGCACGGTTCTAAATTCCAGATACAAAACAATAACCTTCTGTCCGTTGGATTCCACTCTTTCAATGCTTTAGCTAATTTTTGTCTAATAGGGGAAAAGATCGACTGAAGTCGATCACCCATTACATCCAGCCACGGGTGTAACCATGTATGAATAGGTATGCGATCCGTTAGAGGATTCCATTCGTCCACTTGAGCAGCTATTCGTGGAATTATTATCTATAACGTTCGCATCGTGAAGCTATGGAACTCGTTATAACGAAAGATTCAAAATAGAACATAGAATCGTCTATTAAATTCTTTGGATTTATTTTGGATTTAGTCTTCTGAACTAACTTGTTCTAGAAGATTCTCGCGCATCCATAAAGGTAATAAAGGTAGCCATTTTTCAACGACATGCAACATCGATTGGGGATCGTCTCGTGGATTCCACCGTAGCGCAGTTTTTCTCATCACCGGCATCCATCCATCCCAAAGAAGTCGCTCAAACGGTGAGAGGTTTTCTAGAACAGCGATATGAGAGTATATATGAAAGCAAATGTATTCTTTTTTCCCGCCATCTTCAAAATACATGTAAAAGTGAAGATTTAATGAGTTTAACAAATTTAAGAGCGCAGGATGCAACGCAAACATGAAAGTCATCAAATGTGCAAATCATTGTACTATTGTCTGTCAGGACCACATTTTAAATAATGTAACTACTTTCACTTTTAACATATACTTTAGAATAAGGATACTATATACCTAAACTTTTAGTGACATTGAATATACCACGCTGTTCTATTTCCAGTATCTTTTTCCATTCACTCATTAACGCGATACCGTAGTTCATTTGTTCGTCGTCAAAAGCATTCCACGTTAAGAAGTAATGCTGAATCTATAACAACGGTGAAATCTTAGTTAAACAAAACTCTCAAGAAACCTTAAAAGCAAATACCTAAATAATTTGGAAAGGTTTAATCACTTAAAAGATGTAGACAGCTTAATGATTAAAAAAATTACTAGTGGTAAAACGCTTGCGATAGCTATTTCTTCCAATCTGAACAAACGATATTCCTCAAAGTATTCTGTCTGCATTTTCTGGAATAATTCTCGACATTCATCAAGCGTTATATTTCCTTCATCGCTTTTGACAGAGAACCTATAAATGATCACAGATAATCGACACAATCATAAATTTATTTTGAAAGCCATGTAGTCGAGAAAAAGCAGAATGAAGGATAACAGTACACTTTTTACTTTTTAAAATCATACTTTTTGAGAAAGGGATGTCAAAAAAATATCATATAGTAATGCTAACCTTTCCAATAAGTCACTTAGTTCTTCCACCCGTTCTTGCTCTTCACGTTCTTTCGACAAAGCAGCCTGTATTTGAACACTATCATTTTCGAGAGCTGCTGTTTGGTCCTATAAAAAGTCAATTATTAGTCTTCCAAATTCATTGGCTACTTAATATTTGTATAAATTACTGAGTGCTACAATTATGGTTTCAACCAAAAGTGATAGGTTGACAGACAACACAAAAGATATACAAAAAGTGATGAAGTCTGTGAGGTTCAGTTACGACGACGAACCACAAATCAACAATACTTCGTACTCTTAGGAAGCGCATTTGCCGGTCATTTTGACGTATTGTTTCTTCAGTTTCGTTGATTAACAAATTTAAATTATGCATCAATTCTGGTACATCAAATGCAAGACGTTCCATCTGTGCTTCTGCGACCGCTCTAAAAAAATCATTTTTTATTTATAATTCCTCAAAATAATAGAAGTTATATTAAACATCAGCCAATACCTGGTCTTAGCTGCGTAAGCATCATAACCGGAATAAATTTTTTGTTCCTTGCCTGTCATGTCGATAACCTAAAAAAAATTATTCAAATGATGAAACAGCAAAAACGTTAATTAAATCTTGAAAAATATTTGAAATGTCAAACTTCTTCCTAATATTTTAGTGGTCAACACATCAAAGCGTTGAGATTATATTTTAAACCGCAGCTGTTTTTACAGCGTCAGCTATATATAAGGTATATTGAATTAACTCGTTAAAAATTATAAAATGAAACCTGCATAAAAACTGTAAGCCTAATGTAATCATTAAGAACGATCATTAGCATGATAACTCCAAAATCAGTAATGCTTCAGGGATTTATTCTTCTAGAGACTACACAATATAAGCAAAAAGTGAGACTTAAGTAGAAACTTATGTAGTGGAGTCATGCAGCAGCATAATTTAAAAGATCTTATTGAAGCTCTAATCAACAAAAATCAAAAAAAAAGTTATACTTTGACACCACTACTTCCACTGTTGAGTCGTTGCTTGAGTGGTCCGCCTTCCGCAATCACTTCATCAATCGTTTTGTACTGATATTTCACACTTTTCTTCGAACCAATCTTTTTCCAATTTCCCCGCCTCGCTGGTTCTTCAACTTTTTCATCATCTTTACTGTTTTCCGCTCTTTTTTGTGACTCTCCCGCTGATTCTGAAACGAATCAACAGCTGCTATAGTAGCATCAACACAGCAGTTGATCCGACAGTTTAAAAACTTTAAGAAGTTCCAAACTATTTCTAAGCTTCTAAATTCTATTCATTCTTTAATATAAAGATTGTGGCTTCCTCTACATAAGCAACGCATCAAAAGAACAACAATTTAAAATCAACCTCCAAAGTTCGGTCCTTTAGATTCTCTTCCGTAGGCACCTACTGCTGCTCTCCCTGGTCGAAGAACCGCTTGAATGGGTTCCACAATACCCTGTTTATTTGCGCCCAGCCCTTGTCCCGGTACATAACCCATTTTACGCATCATTTTCATAATCACATCAGATTTGGAATGTTTCGCCCAATCTGCGAATTTGTCAGGATCCACCACACTATGCGTTGACCTCAAAACATAATCTTGGATGTTCAGTACTTGATGCTAATAATTTAAAATATTTCAAAAAGTATATCGAAGGCTTACGACAAACGAAGTCCGGCAAAAACATTTGCACCTGCCTGTCGACGAAATGACCGCCGTGGCTTTGCTACAGAAACTGGTTCATCATCCATTCTATCATTATCATCATTTTTATTCTGTAATTATGATATGCAACTCTAACAAGCAACAAGTCTTTAACGATATCTTTAACGATCTTTAAAGACTCAAATAAACAGTAATATGATTTTGCCATCAATAGCTATCACGAAAATATTGATTAGTAAATCCAAAAAAAAACTCGAGCGAAAAATAACAAACCTCCCCTTCAATTGCATTACCATATTTTATACCACCACTGACGAATGTCACTGGTGCGGAATAATTTTTATTTTGCTTCTTTGAACCTTTTGAACCGAACCCAGCATGTATATCTTCATTGTCACTTTCCTCACGATCAGCCCAAATACCTTAAACTCAACAATCAGTTACCAAGACAAAAACAAGATACTGAAAAACCAGACTTCTTATGTACATAAAAAAGAGAAAAGGAAGGACACTGAAAAAATGAAAAACATGGGCGATATCTATAAAATTATTCAAAAGTAGTCAAAAAAGCAACACATTACTTGGATTTTTCGGAAAAGCCTAAAAAGAGTGATTAATGGCATAACAAAAAAGGAACTTGAAGTGTCTATTTTCCAACGCAAATTACCATATAATTGTTGATCCTTTGATAATCCGCGACGATATCCCGGATTCAAAGCATACTCCAAGTCTCGTTCACTGATGTCAAAACTTTCCATCCCGTCATCTTCTTCCGCGTCCATCTCTCCTTTTGATCAACACTCCATCTCAATCCAGAAAATAATAATTCCAAATTACAGCACTCAACTGCACCTTTATTACCAAACCTAATTAGAGCCAAATTAATGCTCAGATTTCATGCGGTCCCATAATGAAAATTTATTTCTCTGCGATCATTTCACTAGTTAAATAAAGAGGGAATGAAATATTGAATGATTTTTTTTCCTGTCATGTTCCGAATTTCTATGAGAGAAAGTAGGTCGAGGATAAGTAAATACTTTCAGACAAGATTTATCAGTAGTAATAGGCAGAAACTGATTAAGTACTTGAGTTGAAGTGGTCACAGGTATGTTTTAGCTGGGACTCATGATGATAGTAATGAAAAATTACATCAAAGAATAAAGCACTCTATTGAAATTTCGATAGTTCAAAAGTAAGTTATCGTTACTTTTCTTTATTTTATTTATTTCACCCGCAGATTCGAGAAATCCTTTAACGATTGCAGTGGTGACCAACTCTATTATCAGAAATACCAGATATCTCCATATTTTGTCATGTTGTTTTATCACCAATGTTTGCCATTGTTGACCAACAAATATTGTTATTGCGATAATAAAACATGCACGGTATTTTTGAATAATTTATATTTTCCACAGATTAGCAGTGTTCATGTGTATAACAAACATTTAAAAGTGTACTTTTCAAAAAAGTTCACAGAATTCCAATTTATAAATACATGCGCATACATAAAATCTGAACCGTTATAGCACTGCACTTAAAGATAAATGGAAATCACAGAGTACGCTTTATGAAGATAAAGTGATAATTAATTAATTAATGGAATGAACATCTTGATGAAATTAGTAACTTACTGTTGCCATTGTACAATTCAGTCTATTAACTCACTTCATTGGAGAAGATAAAATAAAAATAAGTAAAGACTTTAGCAACTATGGAATCAATTGAAAATAACTATTGGTGGAGCTTCAAGTAATTCAATTTGGTTGATAACAGTATAGCAATAAAGTTAAAATATTATTTCTTTTCCCATCCTTTCTTCTATCTTGGCTAAATCGTAATGGCAGTCCAAGATAATGTGTAACAAAAATAGAAAGGTTGGAAAAAAAAAACTTCTTGCGAAACATATAGTAAAGAAAGAGAGAGAAATTAGTCATGAAAGCAGGTTCAGTAAATTATAATGGGTTGGTTTAGATTGAAAGAAAAAAGAAATACAGAAATGGAAAAGAAAGATAACAGCAAATGAAAACTGCCTAAAATTAAAAGCAGTTTTGGTTTGAGATGCATTTCCTCAGATAGATAAAATAAATTAACTCTCTTTCCCATTTCAGTCAGATAAACTACTCGACTAAGGAATATTAGCAATAGATAAGGATATGAAGACAAAGCAGAGATCAAGGACTCTTATAGCTATCAGCTACAATAATCACTCCTTTTCATGTGAACTATCCTTTCTTTATTAATGAAATGATAATAATAAATAAAAGCAAATCAACTTGTATTTAACAACTTTCTTATAGCTACAACACTACTACAAAATGTGCTAACTACATCTTAAGGATTAATAAACGTATCGATTTTCCGGTATTCTCATATCGAAAACTTATCATTTCTGACAGCTAAATTTGCATTGACTAAAATTTTTGTTTTAAAAACAATGAATTGTAAGAAAATGAAGTTTAATGACTGTAGTGACTGATATCAGTTAAAACAGGATTTTAAAATTGATTACTTATCCGGAGAAATAATTGTCCAACTTTATAATCCTAAGGAAATATGTCATGGGACCAGAACTAAAAATTGAGCTCTCTAAGGAATGAAAAGGAATAGAGGCGGCGCTCGTGAAGCAAGAGTAAAATCTGTGAGGTTGACTTAATTAATCTTTGTTTTTTATGATACTTATTATGGTAAATTAAGAATTCAATGACTGTATGGACTATCCTAACTGATATTTCTATCTTCTTTCACAATTCAATAAAGCTTCATAGCTCTTCTAATGAATTAAATAGTGGTGATGAAATATCTCGAGATGTTTTGTCCCGAAAGAGGACTTTAAAATTGGTTAACAGTTGCACTGTGACGATGGCGGCTTCTGCATGCTCGGCGCATCCAATCGTTGTCCTTTGGGGTGCGTTGCCGAGGGATCCGAATCCAACGACTCTGCCATTTTGTCACATATAATTTCTACCAATTTTTCAAATACTGCTTTCACATTTATATTCTCCTTGGCCGATGTTTCGAAAAATTCTAAGCCTAAAATAAATCATTTTATAAACTCAAAATATAAGCTGATTAGCAGTCAACCGATATAAGGCTGTTGTTGAGGTGCAATATGACAACAGAAGCATTTATGTCATATTTCCGGTAAATTACCTTATCATTAAAATTGAAAGCCAAAAGGATTAAATTGCTCAGTTATAAAGAAACTGGATTTTCTTGGATGAGCAGAGGAAACATGAAGCAAAGAATTCAACAGATACCCAGTTGATCAGCTAACTGTTTACCCCGTTCACACGAGACTACTCTCTCATCGTCCATGTCGCATTTATTACCAACTAGTACTACTTGTGCATTCTCCCACGAATATGTCTTGATTTGTGTGCACCTGTAATTCATACATATATTATTAGTTTCGAAACGCATTAAAGAGAATTATCTATTAAGCTAATGGATGACAATTTATTTCAGTTAGGATGTCATCTTAATTTTCATCTTTACATCTCATATGTGACTTCAACCATTGTGTCACCGACACATTACATATTCAAAAGAATGACTGAATTACACACAAATCTATAAAATAATATTTTCAATATGATCACTATATTTCTAAATACTCCTCGAATCTGTAAGCAAGGATACCGAGTGACGCATAATTCAACCTTTGAGGAACTGTTGTGAAATGAATGAAGCCACAACCATGCAGGCCAATTACACAATAAATTTGATAGCAAAAAACGTGAACTATGAGAATTCATTACGGGCATGTCACTTCATCTTATGGCATAACAAGAAGTCACTTATCGGAAACAGATGCATAAAAAATAGGTCGACATTGAATAATCGCTGCAGCAACCATTTCACTTTATTTCCACATTTATACCTTGCTGGAAGGAAGAAAAATGTTAGTACTAAATGAAAAACAAACCAATCCTGAACACTGTTGAATGATTCTTCGTTAGTAATATCATACATAAGGATGAAACCCATTGCTCCACGATAATATGCAGTCGTTATAGTCCGATACCGTTCTTGTCCAGCAGTATCCTAATAATTTTCAACGTATAATGAGTAATATGAATGTAACTATTCACATTTTTCCATAGATTTTGCAATTAGTATAAAATATTCTCCTTTCTAATAATATATAAAATATACCAACCAAAAAAAAACAAATGTTTCACTACCGATCTTCTTTTTCACTAGTTTGCTACAATTTCTTAGTCATCCATATTAGCTAGCACTCGATTACACTGAATATTTCAGTATCCTGATCAAGCTTATGATGTTTTTTTCCAGTCATACTGTTGGTTTTTTTGAAAGAGTATTTGTAATTAATTAACACTTGCCCATATCTGCAACTTAACGCGTTTATCTCCTCGAAATACTGTCTTCACTTTGAAATCGATGCCAACTGTTGAAACGAATGCAGACGTGAACGAATCATCACAGTATCGAAACAGAAATGAAGTTTTGCCCACTGATGAATTACCAATAATCAGTAGTTTAAACATATAATCAAAATTCTGATCTGTTCCACTTGGCGCAGATGCAGTACCACCTGCACCAGCAGTTGCCATGATCTAAAATTATGCTCAATAGTGCAGAAAAAATCACTGAGATAGATCTATTAAGCGCAAGTGTACCAACTGAATCGTGATTAATTTACAGAAGGAATAAATTCTATTCATTCTAGCATTGTTAGTAACTTTCTTAGTCAGAAACGATAACATTCACATCCAATAAAACTATTTTATCCGCTAATATCTATGTACTTTACGAACAAAATTACTTTTCATTTTCTATTTACTTTCTATACGACAATGATGAACACACACCATTAGCAGCTATAATTGCAAACTTAGCTTCAATGATGAAAAAGCGAAAGTTCCGGGAAAGAAATTTCTTTTAACATTTTATAAACAAAATATTTTGTTTACTTATTTATCTGTAAAATTTCTCTCAGATATTGTATTTCAATATTTTATAAATAGCATACATTCCTTCTTTTTTTAGCTGTGATACTTCTCAATAATACTTATGAGTAGAAGAAATAAATTGGTTTTTTTGTGGAGAGAGAGGGAAAGAATGACATCTTGGAAGTATTCCTCCGGATTCTAAAGTAAGTCAATATATATATATATATATCCTGCTTCCTTCCCTTCCATGAAGGGTGTTTAATAGCTGTGAACAGAAATAAGAAAGTATTCCGTATTCAAGGGAACAATCAATAGGTTGCTCAGGTTGTTTTCAGATGAATGAACTACTGAAATTAGGCATATAAGATTAAATTACTCTCTTGTTAAGGAAATTTGTAATCGTCTGTAGAAAAGTAATGAGTAAAATATTTTGTAAGAAAATGACCCCACATCTAAAGAATCGCTGTTTTTGAAACCTCTCTTTTCAATTTTTTTTCGAAAAAAATATTCAGCGATTAAGTTAGGGTTATAAAGGTTTGTAGTCCGTTACCTCTTTCTTAAGCATACTGAGAAAAGCATAAATCCTAGCTTGTTTCCTCTTGTCATTAATCAAATGTTCGTTTCCGAATAATTTTTGATCAAAAACATCCCCAATTAATAGTGTAAAGTTGGCATAATGATATACATATATCAGGAGAAAATAGAAAGGCATGAGGCCACATCTTTGGCTTTGTCAATATGTCGGCCAGAGATTTTGAAGAATTCTCACATATATAAGAATATAATTCAATCACATTACTGAAATCAAATATATATATATA